TTGGATCTTTCACATTATCATTAAAATTTTTCCATTGCTTGATAGAAGATAAAAACTACACACACACACACACACACACACACACACCCTGCGTATATCACCAGACTAGAGTGTCATTCTCACTTTTTTGAACAAAATCTTTTGTTCTAACCTAAAGAGGCTATTACCTATGACCATTCCCATATAATTTGTGGAGGAGAGGTAAGGACTTGCAAGAGGCACAAGTCATCTTCGAGATACCCTAGTACATTACAAAATTTCACGTGTGTATTCTACAATTTTAAAAAAATATTTAGCTCTTATACAGAAATTTTGCCATATCACAGTGTAAGAATGTACAACTTTTTCTTTTTTGAAAAATTTTCTATATTATTTATAATTATAATATATAATAAAATCTCTTTGGAATCCTGATTAGAGAGAGGTCTTAAGCAATTACTTACTCCACCTATAGTGAGGACCAACGATGAAGCTAGCATGTTCTTTTAGATTAGCTTGTTTCTAATTTTTTAAATTGCCATAACTTTCTTTATCCTCTTCTTAAACCATCATCGAGAATAGCATCTTCTTAGTGGAATGATTTATCATAGGTTATCACTTTCAAGTAAAAGACAATTCCTTTAATGTAATTAGGTCTTACGAAATTTATTTTATTTGACTCAATACTTTGTGTCCCCATGAATTTAGATTATTGAAGATGCAAATTCTTAAATATACTAACTCAGAGCTAAATATTAATTCCATTGGAGTAGAAAGTTTCTCTGAAAAGTCATTCGAAGTAACAGACTCACTAATTCTTCGTTAGGAGCTTAGATTTAATAAGGAAGCACCAAGAAGAACTTTAGTGTAGTTCGTACATTGTACTAATGATTTGGCTAATTTTATTTGATCCTTCTTATCAAATATGTCATTAATGTATGTGGATCCAAACCAAAACACAAGATAATTGACAGTCCCAACATTATTAGTGAAGATATTTTTGGCTTACAACTCTACTTCCATGTTTTGAATGAAAAAAGAAAAAGAAAATAGGTATAGCGATGGTTAAAAATACAAATGGCCTTGAACTTTGCATAATGTTTTCCATTGACCATTAAACTTTAGGGTTCATTTGATTGGAACCAATTCCATAGAAAATATCACATCCAAAGAATTCATTTTCTACTTTAGCTCTTTGATACGAAAGTGAAAATGGAGTTCGAATTTCAAAGTATAAACACTGAAAGCATGTTTTTGGCCAATTCAATAGAATCGAATTTCTATGGTTTTGATGAATTTTTCTTTTCCAGCTTACATAGAATTGGTTTGCCTTTTTAACATTTGCAATCAAACGGACCCTTAAAGTTTATGAAACTTATCAAATCCTTATCCTTTTCATCACTCAATAACTCACCTATCATTAATTGATGACAAATAAGGCAAAATGAAAAACCAGTTGGAGAAAGAAAGAATGAATTCAGTCTATCTCATTTTTCCTTACACACATGTACTCATAGACTTCTTTTACATAGAAATTGGAAAAGTACACAAAATACTGAGACTAGAGTACTTTAGACAACTATTCAACATTGCTTTTTGCAGGACATATTATTTTCTAATGTAGATTAAAATAGATAGCTTAAGCCAGGGGTTTTTGGTAGGATGAAAATCAGATTTTTAGTAAATTTTAATAAAAAATGATTAAATGAGTGATTGAAAAGTTATGAGTTCCAAAAAATTTGTGGTTGAGATTAATTATTGGCTTTGACTTAAATTAAAATTTTGTTTTGAATCCTCAGTAGGCATGAACTTAGTTAAAAATGGAAAACATTGTAAATAGCATTTGGATTGTATAGCAAAGGTCGGTACTTGAACAATCAATCCTCTGAGAAGATCTTTATATGCATTTTTGTCCTCCGAAACACGCAGAAGCTCTTTACTTGCAGCATCTCTCATAGCATTGACCATTTCATCTTGTGCCTGAAGAACCTTAATACGAGATGCATTTAACTGTATCGAGTACTCACTGCATACACAATAATGTTACTTTTATCCAATTCAAAATCTAAAACTTCATGTCAAAATCCTTAGGATTGATAAATCGCTTACATCTTTTTACGAACTTCCACCTCCTTGTTCTTTTGCTTGTACTTTTTCCGGACCTTTTTCTTTTTGGTTTCAACTAGTTGCAATTTCTCAATGTTGAATTTCTACAAACAAATGCAATATTTGCACATTCAATTGTGAATCGATTACATTATACGGATGAAAAAAAAGACCAATGAAAAAAAAACCTCCTCTACAGAAACGGAGATCTCATTGGCTTTCTCTTCAGCTTCTTGTCGAATGAATCTCACCATCTATTGTATCTGCTTCGACACATCAACGTCGTTCATTTTCTTTTAGTGAAAATTACATTGGATGTCAAAATTTGGGTTTGCATTTACAAAAATGTCACTTTTTTAAAGAGCTTGCGAAATTGTCATTTTCGGACATTTCTATCCCTTTGAATAATTTCAATACGTTATATATATCCTTCATTAAATGAGATATGACTAGAAGAAAAATTGTACAAAAACTTTGAAAATTACAGGGTACGACATGAGTCAATCTTAGCTAATAAATATTTTCATTAATTCCATGTACAAATTCAACAAAAAATTATTGGGTTAATTTCACAAACGGTCACTGAACTTATCTACGAATTTTGAAACGGTCACCGAAGTTTTAGGACGATTTCGCTAATGGTGACTCTGTTAAGTTGGTAGTGTTAAATGTTGACGTGGCTACGTTAAATGATGACGTGGCCGTTTTAATAAAAGGTTTATTTAAGGATGATAAAAAGGCTCGAGGGCTCAAGTCGCCCGTGGCTTGGCCCGCAAAAAGCTCGAGCCGGTTCGGCTCAAGGCTCGATCAAACCGAGCCCCATCTTGGGATGTCAGGCCGAGCTCGAGCCGGCTCGTGTGGCTCACGAGTAGGCTCGAAAAAAAATGTAAGGCAGTCTGAAAGGCAGTTGGCTTTTGCCTTTGTAAAGGTAGTCTGCTGCCTTCGAATAAAGGTAGCATGCTGCCTTAAAAAAAGGCAGCTACAACTGCCTTTTAAAGGAAAAAAAGGGAGGAAAAGGAAAAAAAACCCCAAGTCAGCTCGGCTCGATCAGGCCCAAGCCGAAAGCTCGGGCCGAGTCTCGATTTTTTGGCCCAGCTTTTTGTCGGTTCGGCTCGAGCCAAAAAAAGCCCATCTTAAAAAATCTCGACCTGAGTCCGAGCCTTGATTTTCGGCTCGCGAGCCGACTCGACTCGGCTCGGCTCATTACCATCTTAGGTTTATTATTACCAATAGGACCGTTATGATTTTAATTCAAACTTAAAGGATTAAAACATGTGAATACAGAACCTTGAGTGCCTCAAGTGAAAATTTCATCTAACCCTCCCTCCCACAAGAGAAGAAGTCCGTTCATACACGTCTGGCCAAACTTCATTAGGGTTCTTAGTCTTTTCTTGAGCTTCCAAACGAGAAAATATCCTCAAATTTCATCTAGAAAGACCTTGATCTTTTATTGAGCTACCAATCAGGAACCCTAATCCTCAAATCCTCCTTCAAACCGCACTAGACTTTGCCTATTTCTGCAATTTTTCTGCAAAAATCAAAGAGGCGGGACCACAACCTTCTAAAATTTATTTGACATGTCAATGTGGAGGAACAAGATGAAGGTTAGAACTTCTTTTTTTTTTAAGGATTTTTTGTCCGTATTCAAAATCTTTTTTTCTGTAATCAAAATATTGCTTCATTTTTAACTTTTTACCAGGTGGAGCTGAATCACATGAAGTTACTTGATGGAATGCTGGCTTTATGTGGGGTCCCACAAAAAAAATTTAGATTCTTTTAAAGTTACAACTTTCTCATTCAGATTATTCTAAAGTTACTCTATTTAGCATTACTTTCATAATGAAACTAGTTGGTATACTTTTGATTGTTTATTTATGATTATAGGTAAATGACAGAGTTATCTAGGAAGGAGTTCTAAGATTCAGGATTAAATAAAGTAGTATTGGGATTTTGTTGGTTGTGTTCTATTGTTTTTATGGTGATATATAATTCCTTTCAATGACATTTACACTTTTTGTCTATGAATATGTATATGGGTTGCTTCCCATGGCAATTTTCAATATAATATTTGGTTTTCGCTCAAAAGGGAAAAAAATTACTCTGGAATCGGATGAGACATTCAAATAGATTTCCATGTCATATTAATCTAAAACTTTAAGTAAACAGAAATTAAGACCCCCAAATTTGAGCAAAATATATTCTAGAGAATGAGAGTCTTTCCATAGAGCTCATCCGTGTTGGGAGAATCGAAAATTCTCTTTTCCAATATTGGTTATGCAGTTTGTTGTTACTTTGGAGGGCTATTGGAGCCAGGGAGGGAGGGTAGACTAAATATAAATCTTTAACTTGAGTCTGTGTTGCTTGAACTTGTCTAGGAGTATTCAACACAATCCTCCTCTTTCATTTGGGCTTTTTCTCCTTTGGTTTTGGGAGGGTTTTAGATGTTTTTTGCAAGTTTTATTTTATTTATTTTTTATTTTTATTTTTGCACTTGAGGTCCTTTCGGTCCTTTAAGTATAAATTAAATCATAATGGTCCAAATGGTGCTACCAACAAATAGAATGACCATTAGCGAAACAATCCTAAAACTTCAATGACCATTTCTGAAAGTTTGCAATTTTAGTGACCGTTTTGAAATTTTTAGGTAAGTTTAGTGACCGTTTGTGAAATTAACCCAAAAAATATTACTAAAAAATTGTCTATAAAAATCTTTAAAAGACTCGACTTAGCCTCCGTTTGATCCCCATTAAATTAAATTACATTACATTCTATTTTTTTCTCTCCTATATTCAATCACACAATCTTCCATAAAATAATATTACACGTAAATCGAAAATTTTTCTTTCTTTTCAACCATTTATTTTTATAAAATATACTATTCCCCCCATTTTCATTTTCAGGTAATTGGGGTCAAACAGGGAGTTAATACCCTCTCAAATTAGTTCTTCTTTCGAATATAGCAACTGTTTCAAGGCACACTTTGTACCCCAGCAGATCTTGAATTTTATCATTAGCGATTGAGAATGTCACCAACTTTCTCACTCAAAATGGTAAAATTTCATAAAATCTATAGATATTTTTTGTTCTTTTGAAAATTTCCTACTTTATTGAATATTCCAATTGCTTCTTGTTGTTCATCTAGTGTTTGATTTGATATGATGTAGCTGTTCTTCTCGTACTTCAAGGATTTGGTGGGTCGAGAAGTGACCGTGGCGTTGAAGAACGATTTAGCATTAAGAGGTACATTACACTCTGTGGATCAGTACCTCAACATTAAGCTCTAAAACACTCGGGTTTTTTTTATCAAGATAAGTACCCCCACATGGTATTCCCTCTTTCTTCCTCACTTTAGGGTTTTGGATTTTTTATAAAGGAAATTTAATAATAAGTTCCAACTTCCAAAGCATGGATGGAAACTGAAAACTTAAAATGTTCTTATGATAAGCTTTCTTTTTTTAGTCAATTTTTATACATGTCTATTTTGTTGAATGACTGCATTATCTGTGCTCTAAATGCCATTTAGGTAAAGATTTCTCTTGATTAGAAGTTGAGAGTTTTATTTATATAATATGTTTCATTTTTAAGATGTATGGTCCTTGGATTTGCTATTGTTTGGAATTTGTTGTGCCTACTTGATGAAATATGAAGGGTTATGTAAATCTAATATGGCAATTTGGGTTTCAAATTTTATAGGAATATACCTGTTTAAGAAATTCTATGTAATAGAAAGGTGTTGTGAGGAATTTGAATATTTATGTATGATTTCCATTCTGTTTGATGATTTTTATTTTAGTCCACCACCAAGATGGTAAATTTATTAATACTAGAACATAAAGTATAATACCACCCACAATACCCTTTTTGATTATTGAATTATCTGGTGGAGTATTGGAACCTCCATTCTTTGCAAATGTGCAATGACATGAAGAATAATTCGTATTACTACACTTACCTTTCACTTGACAATTCAAAAATGATAGAAGAAATGACTGTTGGAAGGAGATCATTGAACCGCGTGTTGGGTTGAGTGATTGTGTAAGTGTATGACTATATTTAATATGAAAAAAATGAGAAAAAGAGTAAAGGTGTAGAGACAAAGTAATAGAGAGGGAGAGGGAAAGTGTAAATAATTGGTGAAGGATAGTTCAATATTGAGTTTAACTCCTATTTATAGTGCAAGTTCTAGGACCATGTGTAGAAAGTTGAAAGGAAATGGCTAGATGTTAGACATGGTAAAAGCATAATTGGTACATTATCTTGAAAGTTGTCAAATCAATACATTTAATCATGTGATCAAATCAATTGACTTGACTTGAATTTTAGTGTAAATAATGTATGTGGTTAAATCAATTACCTTTATTTATTAGTCAAAGCAATTACTTTGTTTAAAATATGGTAAATAATGCATGTGGTCAAATAAATCATATCTAATCATGGCTAATTGACATATTTACATATAATTTTATTTAACTTCCAATTTAACTCTTCACTTAGGTCCTCAAAGATTGGCTAGTAATTAATAAGGTCATTTAACTAAAATTTAACTCAATCAATAACCAATAAGGTCATTAGACTTTAATAATGGCGCACTTAAGTCCTAATTATTAATCTAATGACTAGTAATAAAAATTTAGGATATTATAGGTAGGATGCTGAATAATTTTGAAATATGATTTTAGGTATTTATTTCGAGGAAACGTGACTATGAATTGTACAATACCTCTGATTCCTGGACTTAAATTAATGAAACTTCAAATGTAAGGATTAGCGGTTGGTAATAGAGATGAGTTTCTAGTTCAATTGAAGCATATGGAAGAAAAATGTTTTATCTTTTGAATCTAATCGTTCATTTCATTTTGGATTTCTAGTGATCATTTTACTTCTATACTGTTTTTCCAACCAGTGGAGTTTATTTATCATTCCAAAGTTAATGCCACTACACAATCCAACCTCACTCACATAAATAACAGAATAAAAAGAAATGCAAAAATGTTATATCTTCTCTATTTTATTTAATCCTTTGAAAAATAAATCTTATTCTAACATTAACTATAATCCAATCTACAGTGGACTGACTACCTTTAATTCATCCTTTATTGATCATCAGTGTACATTTCTCTTACTTCCTTTACCCTTTCTTCCCAAATTCTTGTAGAACTCGGGAGCATGTCATGTTTAGACCTGTACTGTGGATAAGGCTTGAGGCACCATTAAACCGAATATGTTATTTGTTAATGGGATCTGCAGCACGTGAGGGTGGGTGATTACCTAGTATGTTGTTTCCCATGCATTTTAAGGTTTATATAATTAGTTTGTTCTTTGCACCTTGTATTCGTTGTTACCTTTTGAGCTTGAGTACGGACATTATTTATTCATGCATTCTATTGATGGTGTATTTTAGTGAAACCACTATTCAGTAATTCATTGTCAATTGGACGTGTTATCGCAGGTATGCCTGATCTTTCACTTTCTTTTATCCTTTTTGTCGTTCTATTGTGTTGTGCTCCCAACACTTCTAAATCTACATTAAAGTAAAGAGATTCTCCATACAACTTGTGGTATATTGTTTTTTTACTGGGATTTGAGCTGGTGAGATGTAATGCTAAAAATTGCTTGCATACTACTCTAATGATTGTTTCTTGGAGTTTTTGGTGGTTTGGTTGTGAACGTAATTGCTTTTCGAGCTAATAGGAACATTCTCATCTATATGTGTGTATCTGCCGAATTAACTTTTTATTTACCCCTTTTTGGTCCTTGCTTCACTGCATACTTTTCGCAATTTTTGTGGGAGTATATGCTTCTTTGCCAAGCTTTAAAGTTCGCCTACTAGTAATTAGTTTTAGAATAAATAGCAGAAAGGGAAATAAAGGGTTTAAACAGTTTTCAAGTGTTGAAGTCGATAGTTAAATTGTCCATCCCGACAGTTAGTAAATGTTGAGCTCGACAGTTCACATGTCTAACTCGACATTTTTTACGACACTATTCGACAATTGAAGTGCCATAAATTTTGGGACAGCTTCGAAACCCTGCATTTAGTTCTTTGGAAGAAATTATTGAAGAAATTAGTGGTAATCAATTCTCAACACAACATCACAATATCTTCCCAAAACTGAATAAGAAATAACTCAATATTTCATTAAAATAAAGAATAACTCAATGCTTCATCACAATATGTTGGTATTAAAGGCATCTTCAAAAAATATATCAAAAATAAAACACATCAATGAATAAGAGATTCAAAAAGTTTAATTAAATTTGACCATATTGTATTAAATATTTTAAAGGAGTAAACTATGAGATGAAAATATATACAATTTCTAGTAGCTCACCTTTGAGATGGATGATCAATCCAATAGCTTTCCCCCGTTGATGATGGAATGAATATGGTGAAGAAGAAGGTAGTGCTTGTGCTCATACGTGTTTGTGTTTTTTTATAAATTTTTCACCTTTTTATTAAAAAAAATTCATATTATCCATATAATAATCATATCTTAAATGTTTAAAATATACAAAACAAATTATCACATCACACCATTAATTACATTCGAATCAAGCATTTATTGCTCCTAAAAAGGTGTCACAAAGAGTAAAATGGACATTTTACAGCAAAAATTTGATATTTTTGGAAGAAATTGGTGCAAATGTAAATTTTTTGTGCATTTTTAATTTTAGTGACATTTATATAAATTCTTCTTTCTTTTATTTGTTTACGAAATATTTCTTACCAAATGTTTGCTCATTGTCATAGACCAAAAACAAAACTGGCAAATGTAGAACAAAATGATGAACACAAGAATCTCTGTGAAGGGGTTCCTAATCGATCTAATCAGGAGCCGAATTTTTGGACGAAGTCGAAGTTGTCTTTTTGGTCAAATTCCGACCGAGTTGGATCATCAATTGTGGGTCGTTCGAAGATGTGTTTGACCATCTCATTTTTTTACAAGAAAGCTAGACACAATACTCTAATAAAAAAAAAAAAAAAAAAAAAAGAGAATAAATTAAAACACTTAAATCAAATTAAAGTTTTAATAACCATATTAATTACGTCAATTAAAAACATAAAACATTTGAAATTCTGCAAAATCATTTGAGAGACAGACCCTGCGTTACCCAATTTGATATTTTTAACCTTTTTAAATTTTTCTTATTAAAAAAATATTATTTGATACGATATTTTACACTATGTTTATCTATTCAAAAACTATTAGAAAGCTTGTAATGCAGCCATGGTAAATATGTGATTGATGAAGTCTAAGAATGCGTTTGATTACAAGTATGAAATTTTCATGGAGATAAAAAATTTTCTTGGCAATTGAATTGTCTAGAAATTATTTGCATGAAAATTATCAATCAAATGCCTTTAATTGACTTAATATTTTTACGTAGAAAAATATTGTACTTTTCCATCTTCTATTTGATAGTCATTATTTTCCTTGGAAATAGTCAATTTTTTAAACTCTTGTTGTTTGATGGTCACTATTTTCCATAGAAATTGTTACTTTTTCCATGAAAATTTTTCAATCAAGGGAGACAAACTTGGACAAATTTACTTACCATATATTTTGTGGGGAAAATTATAGCAGCAGTCCATATTCTTTCAATTTTTTGCAAACTTATCTTAACATTCACTTTGTACCACCCATTGTCTCAAACCTTTCAAAAATATGCATTTGAGGTTCATTTGACCATTAGCGGACAAAAAAAGTAAAAATTTATTTAATTTTGACCAAATTAAAAAGGGCAAAATGGTATTTTGCTATTAATTCCCATTTATCCCTTATAATAATTAGTTAAAAGAAAATAAGAATAAAATACAATTATAATATATTCCAAAACATAAACAACCATCACCCTTCCTCCTCCTTGCCACCATAGCCGGTCCTGCTTTGAGGCTATTGAGGCTGGGGTCTCAGGCCCAAAATCTAAGGGGGCCTATTTTTGGCCCAAAGATTATTTTTTTATTTTTCTTTTTTTGGTTGTAAATATAGGGGATCCATTCCATTCATTATTTTCTTCTAGGCCCAAAATCGGATGGGCCTATTTTTTGCCCAATTATATATATATATATGAGGAAAATTGGATCTTATATTTCATTCCTCATCTCCTCTTCGACGACTACGATATCCAACTCGACCTCCGCCTCCAATCCAACTCCAAGAATCATTGGACCGATGACTGTGATTCGACGAGGGCTTCATTTCCTTGGCCGACCCTCCTTATCTTCTTTGTGCCAGTTCTCAAATCCCATTTCCTTCTCTTCACTCTTCACAAATCACAAGAACAAGAAGTTGCTCATTTTCAACCCTAAAGGCCTAATTTATTGCCCTTTTTCAGTATTCGTTACCTCTCTTTTTTGTGCCGATCATCAATTTATTGCCTGTCTTCTTCGATTTGATCATGGAATGTTTATTATGTAATTAATTTTTTCTTGTCAAGATTCATGACAGAGTAAACTCCTTGAAAAATTACAATTTCTCTTACTTAGCTTGTGTACGTAGTTTTATTTCAGGTAGATTGATGTTAAGAAGGGCCTTTGACTACAATTATCTCAATCAGAGTGTTGCTGTCTTGCTGATGAAGGTTTGCCTCATTTTTCCTTTGGTCGTGCTTCCCAACTCTTGTGTTTCTTCTATTTTATTACTATTGAAAAAATAAAAACATCTATTGATTAGCAAAGATGTTATATGTCAGTTGTCCTGTTGCTAATGATATATTTGATGAACTGTCAAATCCCAAATGGAGCCATAACATTAGTACATAAATCATACGTAGCAGTCTAGTAACCAGATTTTTGTTTTCCTTTACTTGTGCTCATGTTCAATCGTACGTTATTTGAAGACCTTATGCACATGATTGGTGCCATAGATATTTTAGGTTCGTTGTTTTTGTGAGATAGTAGTAAGGTGAACAATATCAATTGAAATGAATTTTGTCTCTGGTTTGGTTTGGTTTCCACGTTTTGATTTTGGTTTCCGCTTTTGGTTTTGTATTGGTGGTTGATGCCAAATATTTATTTCAGGCTTGTGAATTGTGACGACAGAATTCTCAACGACGTGATTCCATCATTTTCGTCGAAATTCTACTTCTCATGTAAGTAATGGCTTGCCCTAACTTGTTATTAAATATATTGAAAATGTTTGAAGCCTTATCGGCTTATATAATTGTGGCATGGTTGGTTTATATGATTGGTTATTGTAGAATCAATTGCTCAGGCGCACATAGTAACTATATTGAAAACTTTAATTGTGAAATGATTGAAATATTTTGTGAAAAGAAGTTTCTCCAATTGAAGTTGATCAAGACTTACCTCCGATCAACTAGGTCACAAGAAAAATTGAACAGATTAGCTATGCTATCAATAGAGAAAGAAATTGTTGAATAACTAAATTATTCAGATTTGATTAATGTTTTTGTCTCTAAAACAACAAGGCAAATAGTATTTAAATGATTATTTGAAACATTGTTAGTTTTGTTATTTTATAATATAAATATTTTGTATAATATATTTATTTGTTGTTTTACTATTAAATTTTAAGTTAGCGATATATTGTATAATACATAATATGTTTTGTTGGATTTTGCATTTAAGTTGATTTTGGGGGCCTAATTTTTGAAGTTCGCCTCAGGCTCCAAAAATCACAGGACCGGCATTGCTTGCCACCACCCACACAACGTTGGCACCTCCATCCCCGATATGACTCCCCATTCCCACACTTGGCTCCACCACCTCTCAACATCAATGAGGAAATCTCGAAACATGCAATCCGAGTTGAGAAGAAAGTTTTGAAATAGGGATCAAATCTTCATCTAAACCCAAATCTCAATCATCAAATACAGTACCAATTGGTAATGGAGTCAAGCTTCTGTTGAGTTCAAGAACTGAGTTTGACTCATATGATGAGGTAATGGAGACAGTGTTGGTCCATGCGGTCATTTCTGAATTTATGTTGTTATTTGGAGTAGATGTTCTATGTACCAACTAAATTGACTGTGTGCCTATGTTCATGATTGGTGGGGGTGGTTATGACAACGATGATGTGGGTTATTTGCAGCTATCGAAGACATTCTAAATGAAAAATTAGTGCAGTGGCATGTTGGTGGTTGGGTGATTTGATTTCTGGTTTTGATTTGGGTGGGGTAGGATTTGATTACTGGATTTGATAGAGATAAATTTGATTTTTGGTTTCAAATTGACAAGGATGGAAGTGGGCACTGATTTTTCTTAAAATGATTTTTCGAGTGTGGGGTGAGTTGACCTGGTTTGATTTTCGAATGTGCTGTGGGCTGGAAGGTGATGATGGTGAGTGGATGGTGGTGAGTAGGAGTGTTTTGGTGGGTGGCAGTTTCTAATAAGGTTTTGCCAGAGAAGAAGAGTTAATATATTGTCTTGATTTGGAGGTTTACGGAGGGAGAGGGTGGGGTGGGTTTATATATTTATTTATTTTTATTTTTTAGCTTTTTAATTTAATTTTTTAACATATTTAATATGAGAAAAATATAAAGTACCACTTTGCCCATTTTAATTTGATCAAAATTAATTAAATTTTGACTTTTTGGTCAATTAAGGGTAAAATGGATGAAAACTATCTATTTGGATCTCAGATAAATATTTTTGAAAGATTTGGAACCGTTG